CAAGCTGCAACTGACTATGACAGATGAGCTAATAAAAGCCACACATAAACCATGCAGTGTTTTAACACTCCGTTGCACATACTGCATGCGTTTGTAGTCTAGCAAAATCTATATAGTGACTAGAGCTAATTTTGTGAAGCTATGAACAGTTTACTGAGCAATATATCTGTCAACGTTGCGGGCAATTTAGCACCCGTAGGACCCAGATACCAAACATCAACGGCAAGGTCATTGCTCATACGCCCCCGTGTGCTGTATCAGAGCACATGTGCTGTCTGGCATACGATCGAGACACACACATATATATATATATATATAGAGAGAGAGCACTGTAATTGACATTGGGCAGGCGAGATGACTGCTATTTCGAGAGATAACTAATACTGGTTTTAGCAGTGAAGTCTGGGATGCAAAGATGCTGCCAGAGACTGAGAGCAACCGTTTTACACGTATGTAGAACAAACATACAGAGTTATCGAATGATTCCCACCTACTTATGTGTTAGTAATGTATCATGGCATACTAGCCATATAAAACTAAGCTGGTTACACTTCGTCTGGGTTATGCAATATCCTGGATTAGGATTAATCTTGGTTCAATGTCTGCACTACTACGTTTCCTGGCCCCACTGAAATTAACCAATTACAGAATTACATGGAACACTTTCAGGACGGGTCAGTTTCATAAACTAAAAACGTTTATAAGCCTAGTCACAGCACTCTCTTCCTGTCACACATCCTCTACTTACCAAAGTACTCTATAACAGTCACATCACTCTCTCCCTGTCACACACTACACCCTCTACTTACCACAGTACTCTGTAACAGTCACAGCACTCTCTCCCTATCACACACTACACCCTCTACTTGCCACAGTACGCTGTAACAGTCACAGTACTCTCTCCTTATCACACACTACACCCTCTACTTACCACAGTACTCTGTACCAGTCACAGCACTCTCTCCCTATCACATACTACACCCTCTACTTACCACAGTACTCTGTAACAGTCACCGCACTTTCGTCCTATCACACACTACACCCTCTACTTACCACAGTACTCTGTACTAGTCACATCACTCTCTCCCTGTCACACTACTTGCTCTGCACTAGCAGTCATGATACACTGGCAGTCTTAAGTACCTTACTTTCATGATGATTTTGTTACTCTTCACGATGCAGAGATACAAGTCACAATGATCTCGGCTAATCACCCTATACACTGCTTGTAACAGTGAACTGTAAGAATCACACTACTGCCCCCACCCCCAACGAAGCCACATCATCGTGCTGCTAGGCATGGTGAACTGCTCCGAGGATACATACCAGGGTGACCTCAAAGCAGTGGTCGTGGCCACCCAGTATGAGATCGATGCCATCTACATTCTCTGCCAGCCGGAGGTCGTTGGGAGTCCGCATGTGCGTCAGAGCTATCACATAGTCCACTCCCTGCAGCAACACGCACACGAATACTGCACAGTGGACACAGCTAAGAACTGACTTTCTATGATAGAATCTGGACCTAACACGACACCGCTGACATTCTATACACAGGAAACGAAATTCGTTTTGAACAATTAACCAAATTTAATCACATTATGGATTCAATGGATTGGAATTACATCATGAATGGCCCAATTATAGATTCCAACTGGCAACAAACGCTACTCAGCTCGTTTGAATACATAAACCAGTCGAGTGTTACAGTATATGAACTATATGGTGCAATCTAGTAGGAAGTCTTACGGTGGGTATCATTTTCGCCGCTTAAAGATTTCACGTATGAAAAAGTTAGCATGTAATACAAATTAATACTGTCCCATGGTCAACGTCTCTTTATATATATATATAGCTGCGTTCACACGAGATACACGGCCTCGCTAGTTCCGTACTTATCTGGTGCTGAATTCGGCTGAAATACCGTGCTAACACAACCCCGAGCGTTCACACGAGAATCGAGGCTTAGCTGGCTAGGTATAATATAGACTGGTACCCGGTCGACAGTTCCACACGCTACACTAACGTCGTGTAGCGAACGGGTACCAGTCTAGGTAAGCGCACTACAGTTTCGCAATTCGAAATTGCCTTCACACAACAGACAATACGCGGCCAGCGTGGTGCCGAATATACGCGGCTTATTCAGTACCATACTGAAATACGCGGCTTACTCGGCGCGGAATGTGATTCCGCGCCGAGTAAGCCACGTATTTCAGTACGATACTGAATAAGTCGCGTATATTTTTACCGTGTGAACACTCAAGTACGGTACTGAAATCCTCGTGTGAATGCAGCTTATGTCTCTTTATTTATATATTATGTTACATGTGATTCTCGGGCTATAATCTAGAGAAATACATGTCACGAGATGTTGTTTCGCTGACCTGTGATCATTTTTATCTCCTCGCTACATAAATGTCACAACACGTGAGAGCATGACATCTCCAAGAGCTAATAATATATAGCGTATAGCAGAAAATGGGAAAATAGTCCCATTTTATGGCAAAATTATTTTATTTTAACTGCAAGTTTAGTAAGTTTATAGTATTGCATTAAGCAACATTGTTTCTGCTCTAAAACAAGATGAACCACTTGTCTCTTCGGCACTCCTAGGCTGAGATATTGGATTGTAATCTTAGCTCATCCAGGTGTTACCGACGTGTAGAAATCAAGTTGCACTCGTCTCCCTAACCTAAGCTGGCTTCAGCCTTTTGTCTGTCGTTTCCATCGCCGTTTGGAGTGCTGATCAATGACGTTACTCGTCCAAATTTGGTTTTCTTACTACACCATAGCAAGAGATAAGCGTTGCGGTGCAAAGCGTTGCTGTTGAAGTAAACTAATAGTTGAAGGCATGTGAAAAGTTCGCCCCTATCTGTGCTAAAAGTTAATTACATTGCAAAAAGAATTGGAAGAACTAAAGCAATCAATAGGTGCAGAACTTTACTTCTTGATATGGAAGTTTGTACAATGCCAAATTCTCAGAACGCTCGCTTCATTTTACGCCATCACGGAAAAAATACACAAACATCCGCCTCAATTCTGGTATCTATTTGTAGCCGAGGGTTTATTTATTCGCATCATAACTCTTGCAATGTGGTACCACAGACTTTACCCAGAGAAATCTGGTAAATTCCTGAGGAAAACTCCCACTACACGGCAATGTAAATGGCTTGTTTAGACACGAGTAATGGTGAGGCATTGCAGTCTGGCTTCAAGCGCTCCGTGCTTCCAAGCTCGATGATGAGCCCCGCCACATGCCTTCCAGCCAAGATTGAACATTCGGCTATGCATAGATACCAAATTGAGGCAGTTGTTTGTATATTTTTTCTGTGATGGTATGAAACGAAGCGAGTGGTATGCGAATTTGGCGCTCACGCTTTTTTCCACCTGCTCTATTTTTCCGTGAGTTTGCACACAGTGGTATGCATGCCGTAAAAATGTGTGTTGCAGAGGAGCATTTAAATGGCATTTATGTGGCATTGTTAGCCAATACAGAATGCATAAACATTGAAACTTTGGTAGTAGAATACATTTCGTGTTTATTTGCTATTACTTTTTATTATTTAAACGTTCTAAGTGCATGATCGACACTGTACCATATACGCACTACCCTGGCTAGCCTAGGCTGCAGCAAATACATTACAGTGTACTTATACTAGTACTAGTGTCTGGTATTACTTACCATATCAAAAGAAATGGAATTTATAAGAGAAATGGAAGGAAGGATGAAAGGAATATTTCTCAAAGCATTCTATAAACGTCACAGATCACACCGTCATAACAACGGCAACGCAAACAAAGTTTCAGTCTTCGATAACCAGTCTAAAGCCCCCCCCAGGGGTTTGGATTATTTCCAAGTGACTTCCATTCATAAATTTATCATGGAAACACCAGAACAATTTTGAGACGAGCTTAGGTGCGAGACATGTGTTCAACTTGATTTCTACACGCTTGTAACGCGTGGATGAGCTAAGATTACAAGCTGATATCTCAGCCTCGGGGTGTCATAAAGACAAGCGGTTGGTATTGTTTTCGAGAGGAAAGAATGCTGCTTAATTCAATACTATGAACATATTCGAGACCTGCATTTAAAATAGAATGATTTTTGCAATAAAGTAACACTATTTTCCTGTTATACCCTATGTATTATTAGCTCTTGATATCAACGATATATAAACACTAAATCAAATATAGTTATTGGAGGATTCATGCAGCATCTCTCAGCTACATGTCTAATAGGCTAAGGAAGAGCTGCACTACACGAATGTAAATTTGCTATAATTATGATGAAAGTTTGCACACAGTAACACTAACAGATATGTTAGACAAAGTTTATTTTACATTTTAGATGAATTTTAGTATAAATGTTTTTGAAATTATAATAATTTCCTTGTTAATAAATTAAGTACTGCTTAAATATGCTGCAAGATTGGTCGACGTTTAACTTACTTCATCTTTGAGTTGTTTGGCTAAGAGGTTGCCCTGCTCCACATAGTCTATGTAGGTCAGGTCATCGGGTGACACTGTTGCCAAAGTGGCCAGCCACTCTTCCTCTACCAATCCCACAAACCCAAACTGAAAACCCAAAATGAAAAAGAGTTACTTTACCTTATAGATTGTTTTATGATATAGCTGCTTAGACACATTTACGGTTACCAGAATAGATTACACTTAGTCTATTCTTTGGAACCATTGCAAAATTAGGTTTCAAATCTTCACATCATTATAATTTCCAGTTTTCACAACATTTTTTGCAACATTGTGGCAGGTGAGACACAAAGAGGGAGAGATCGAGAGAGAGAGGGGGAGAGAGGTGTGAGGCAGGGAAAGAAAGGGAAAGAGGAGGCTGGTGGCCCACAGCCATACACAGAGAGTGAGAGAGAGAGAGAGAGAGAGAGAGAGAGAGAGAGGAAACGATGGAATAGCACTACCTTCTTCCCGCACACCCTCACCCCGCACCGCGACAGTACCACGGGAGACCATCCCCCCCATCCTCGCCCAGTGTGCCTCTATGACAATCACCTCACCCATACCAACACACCCCCCCCCCCCCCCCCCCCCCCCCCCCCCCCCCCCCCCCCCCCCCCCCCCCCCCGCCCCCTCACTAAGACATCACCCAGCCAGGCGCCCAGCTGCCCACACCACACCCCACTGTGTAAACTACCACCCCCAGCCCTCATCCACTCCGCTTGGATCTATCCACGCAACATACATGAGTCACAATACATGACGCCACTCACCACCCCCACCATGTAATGAGAGTCAAGCAGTCTCCACATTAGACAGATCCTGGCTCCGCCGTGCATTACGATACTAGACTAGACTATACCAAAGATCATCGATTCGCGTACACTGCAACATCTACTCCAGCACACGTATCAATACCTGCAGCGCATTTGTCTGCCTTGCATAAACCATGCTTACTGAAATAGGGACCCAGACAAGCAGGGTAACACGGGCAGTAGCCAGAGTGAGCGTCATGAAGAACAAACGGGAGTAGACAGACAGGAAGGACACACCAACATAGATATCGTTAGTGAACTTTCTAGTTTTGATCCGAGTTTTGAGAGTCTAATTAGCACTGAATAGATGAACTCAAAATCTACTGGCTCAAATACGAAAGCAAAATAATCAGCTTTGTGTGCAAGCACCAATATATTGGCACTTATGAAGCCGAACGATGCACTACCAAGGTCAACCAACCAATGTTCTAAACCGGCTTCATAATGGAATCAGAGGGTGCAGTTCCAAATAACAATTCTACTAACCAACAAGTCTTCTGAGCGCGAAATAGACTTGTTAGATGAACATCCTAAAGCCGATCCCATGTAACATAAATCTGTTATGGCCTTTTGATAACATGGCCTATCTCACCGCATACCGACACTGCAAATTTGATCCTACAATCAAAATAGATCGCCGACCCCGCGGGCGCCGCCTAATTTTTCGCCGTGTGTTAACATGCTATCCCGCGCTAAATACGCGTAGTTTCTAAGACTTAACTTTAGCCGCCGGACGATGACGGCTGGGCCAGCCTCCGCTTCAGAGCGTAGCCTAATTAATATCCCCATTATGACTAAGTTAGCTATTACGCTAATATTGTGTCTGTACAATCCAGGACCAGAGTGCGTGGGCTTAAATTTTTTGATATACGTATTGCGCATGAGCTATTATGGGGTATAAAAGGCACGTACCCGGGGTTGAGATTGATTCGTCGAATTTTGTTTTTAATACTTCAGCTTCCACTAATGCTAGTTTATACTTGCCAAAAATATCTATCCAAAGTATTGGCAAGACAGACATAAGACACCGTGCATGTTTCCACTCTTCCGGTGTTATTTTCATACAACAGTACTTTTCCACTTTACAGTTAGTGATAAAATGGCTGCTAATTGAAACATGATCCGGATACCACCAGATTTGATTATACCCTGGTTGCCAGCTTTCCTGCTGGCCTACTTAAGATCAAACCTCGACATGCTTCCACGTCAGGTGGAAGCCCATAGTGACATCATGGCAGGTAGGGAGCCATCAGCCACTTAACTATTCTTCTCTTTCTTATATGCCTATCTCACAATAATGCAGTATAAATCCCTAATACATGTATCGGTGGTAGAGCCTACAGCAACATTGTTTACCGTATTGCCTGTCCTGCTAAGTGATGGTACGCCCAAGCCTACAACTGAGCATGCACAGTCACCCCGTGCTAACTTAGCCCAATTGAGCCTGGTTGTGTCTGCATGCTCAAATTAGGATAGCAAATTTTGTAGTCTGTACGTGGGGGGGGGACCTGCTGCTTCCAACCACTATCATGGCTGGGTGTGTTACCGACCCGAAAACTATAAGCATGCCTATCTTTATGCTGAAGCACAAACAGCATTTTGCTATCCATGCTGAGCTAATCTGCTACAAAACAGAAACTATAGAAACACATAACCACATAACCACAGTGAAGTCCTTTATGGGTTACCTAATCTGACGTAAATATCGGACGTAGTTGTTGTAGTAGACAATCAATTGTCATGCAATTAAATTCTGATTACATATTACAGTACAGGTAGGTTCCGTTAACTTTTCACGTTAACGACCATTTCAAAATTACCTAAAAAATTGTAAATAACCAAAAAATCGTAACTCAATAACACATCGCAGCAACGCCTGTGAGTCCAAACATGCAATATACGCTTCCATTTGTTTTTCGTGGTGCATTGTGAGTTGAATGATAGCATTTAATTGAATTATTATTTGTTCTTGTTTTACAATTTCTCATTTTACGACCTTGTTATACTAGAACCTAACCCTGTCGTAAAACGGGACCTAGCTGTAAATATCTTGGTTACGTATAGCAGTAAATATCCTGTTTTTGTATGTTCGTAGGTCGTACGACTTTATTGAGCACCTGTATACTCACATATTTGCCAGTGGGCTGATAAAACACTAAATAAATAGTAGATTGTAATGCTCCGGAGCAGTGGTTCTTAACCTTTTTGGCCCCACGACCCCATCAGACATTCTTGGTCAGTACCGTGACCCCCCCCCACCCACAAAAATGTTAAAAAAACAGCCCGATTTATGAAGACATGTCTGCCAATACTCAGTCAATGGGATGGCTAAATTGCTTCGCAGCTATCAGGAGATAAAAATTTTTTTCACTTGGACGGCCAAATGAGGAAATTTTTGTTGCAACCTGATAATTATATAGAATTTAAATGAATTTGTTTCATTTATGACCCCTTCATGACCCCCGGAAAAACCCTAAACGACCCCCAGGTTAAGAACCGCTGCAATTACTAAACACCGACTTTTCTGTCATGTCTGCTTGCCACAAAATATCATAACGAATTTAGATTTAATTGAAACTTGTTGAAAAGCAAGTACCATTAACATTCCATGTGCGAGAAACTGCCTGTTGGATGCATAGATAATACTGCCATGTTAAAAAAAACACCAGTCAAATAATAAATCTGTTAAAATGCACCTCTGTCAAAATATTTTGATGGGCTGGTTGGATTACAACAAAATAGTTTCTCAAATGTGAGTGCAACTTGAGTGTGTGATCTATGGCATGTTTTTTGTTTCATAATTCTATTTTGTTAATCGGTCGATTCGTTTAATGTTTTGTTCGATGTATATATGAGCTAAAATCACATATGCATGTTGAAATGTTACCTTTGATATTGTTCCTTTATATTCGATTCACATCGAAGACATTCATATTAGCAGATCGCATTATTTGATCACGCGAATCAAATGGCTTGATTGACTGGATCGAAAGCTTGCACATGCAGACATGAGGCACAGCAAGATCATAGAAACAAGCCATAGCAACAGGATAGGAGAGTGGGAACATTAGCAATACCATAGCAGGCTGGGAGCAATATCAACATGATGACATGATGGGATTCAAGCAACAACATGGGGGAGGGGGCCAAAAGCGATAACACAACAAGTAGGTAGCCAAAGTGACATCATGGCAGGTGGAAAACCATAGTGACATCACGGCAGGTAGGGAGCCATAGTGACATCACAGCAGGTAGGGAGCCATAGTGACATCACGGCAGGTAGGGAGCCATAGTGACATCACAGCAGGTAGGGAGCCATAGTGACATCACGGCAGGTAGGGAGCCATAGTGACATCACGGCAGGTAGGGAGCCATAGTGACATCACGGCAGGTAGGGGGGCAGAAGGG